TATTAGCATTAGCATTAGCATTAGCATTAGCATTAGCATTAGCATTAGCATTAGCAATAGCATTAGTATTAGTATCAGTATTAGTATTAGTATTAGTATTAGTATTAGTATTAGTATTAGTATTAGTATTAGTATAGTACACCTCACAGTATTAATAATTGAGTGCCGTCATTTCGGCGACATCGCGAAGGGTTAATTCTTCCGATATTGCCACCGTCTCGAATCGCAGCTACGCCATAATTACGTTAGCACACGGAAATAGATTCCTGAGATCATTCGAAGTAACTTTTTCCTCAGCGAAAATGCAATGCGCGGCTTCGTTTGCGAGTTATTAACGAAAAACGTTGACCAATGAGAGACAAGCTCGCCTGGCTCTAAGCAGTCAAGCCAATGAGCAGAACCGGGCCTCGTTGGCTCGGCCGCATTGCACCGGCCGAGCTCGCCTCTCATTGGCCAACGTTTTCCGTTAATAACTCGTAAACGAAGCCACGCATTGCATTTTCGCAAAGGAATCATATATTTCCGTGTGCTAACATAATTATGGCGTAGCTGCGAAGGAAAAAGTCACTTCGAATCACCTCGGAAATCTCTAATTTCCCGGAAGTACCATGATTTTGGGACACCCGGTATTTAATAGCGATCCTCGTTGCACGCTGTTCCAGTGAAACTAAACCTGGAGGGTTACAACTTGAAGAATCTGAGGTATCTCCAACATGGCGACACCAGGCAGGACGAGGCGGAGGATGCCATCAGGTTTCAAGCTTGGAAGGCATGTCTAGGTATGTGCAAAAAGCTTGCACCACACCGCTGCGCGATCGAGAGCAATCTTCGGCTGGATAATCGATTAACTAGACACTCTTCGAGACACGTAAATCGTTGCCGGAACGATACCGCGTCTACGGTGAAAAACTACTCAATACATAAATTGTTTAGCGGCATTAATTATTTCAATCGTGTACCAACGATCCGTCTCTTCTTGGTTTAGATTTCTCTTAATAATTCAGTATGCTATTAGCATCCGTTAGACGAAGCGATAACAGGTTTGCTCGCCGTTTATTTATTCACGTCGGTTTAGTATTAATTTCTTTTCGACGTTCGTTCCTCTTAATCGTCCTTTAATCTTGCATACACACTTTGTTTCCTTGCCGACATGTTTAAACCAGGGATTAAAATAGTTACAGAACAGTTTAGTATGTTCTACTGAGAACACGATGTATGCAGACTTTTTAAAAATATTGTCGCATCCTGCATACAGGATCTCCTTGCTATAATATAACCACCGTTGGCTCTCCAACCAGTTGGTTTAAACCAGGGATAAAAATAGTTGTAAAATATTATAGTATGTTCTACTTAAAACACGATCCGTGGATATTTTTAGGAAAATATTGTCATAGTAATTTGTTCTGGATGTTCACCTTAACTGTCTCCTAATCTTGCATACACAATTTGTTTCCTTGCTACCATGTTTTAAACCAGGGATAAAAATAGTTATAAAACATTCTAATATACTCTACTTAAAACACGATCTGTGGATATTTTTAAGAAAATATTGTCATAGTAATTTCTTCTAGATGTTCACCTTAACTGTCTCCTAATCTTGCATACACAATTTGTTTCCTTGCTACCATGTTTTAAACCAGGGATAAAAATAGTTATAAAATATTGTAATAAGTTCTACTGAACACATGATCCATGAAAATGTTTAAAAAGATATTATCACATTATAACCTTAACTGTCTCTTAACCTTGCTACCACATTTAAACCAGAAATAAAAATAGTTACAAAACGTTACAGAATATTCCATGAAAACTTAAGAAAAAATATCGCCACATTAATTTCTCCTAAATGTCCACTTTAATTATCCCGATGTTCCTTTAATAATCCTTCGCCATGCTAACATATTTAATCCAAATACAAAAGCAGAACATTTTGGTATATTCTACCTAAACAATAACCTACGAATCTTCCTAAAAAAAATACCACCACGCTGACACCTCCAGCGTGAAGATCCGAAGAAAAACGTTCGTCGGAATAAAGCACATAAAATGTAGATACGGAAATAAAAGCCGCGCGATCGCAGGACCCGGTGGTGACAGAAATCGAATGAAAATGGTTCCAGGGGTGCTAGGAATTCCGTTCCTGGACGTGGTCCGAGTCCTGGCAGCGGTGCTGATCCTGGGCAACGTGGGCTTCACGGATCGTCCAGGTGTGGAGGTCGGTGTGATCGGCGAAAATGAACTGGCCTCGGTGGCCGCCCTCCTCGGAGTCCCTCCGCCGGCTCTGCTGCGAGGTCTCACCTCCAGGACCCACAACGCCCGTGGACAGCTGGTGAAGTCGGTCTGCGACGCGAATATGGTACCGTGTAATTGATTGACCGCGATCCGATCCATAACCGCCGCCTTGCCCGTGCCGAACCATGTTGAACGGTCTTTGTTTACGCAGTCTAACATGACCAGGGACTCGCTGGCGAAAGCGCTCTACTGCCGCACCGTGGCCACCATCGTCCGGAGAGCCAACAGTCTGAAGAGATTAGGCTCGACCCTTGGCACCCTGTCCTCCGACTCGAACGAGTCCGTGCACAACCAGGCCGAAGTGACCAGCCAGCATGCGTCGACCATCGGCAGCTCGGCAGGTCCGCTAATTTGATTAATCTCGGAGACATTCGGCGTTATCTTCTCGAGTTTCTCTAATCCCGACGTCGAAGATCGGTCGCCGTTGCGAATTTATTAGGAAGAAGTTAGATCGGATAGAGCTAAATTATTTATTCCGCTGTATTCCGGCATGATTCAGCTGTGCGGGCGAATTTTTCTGCTGCGATAGGCTGAACGGTATTTTTTGTAGACAGGGTTCATTGGCTAGACGACGCAGGGTTGCGTCTTCTTAGCTCGTCTTCTCAGGCTCTTAGCTGCTCTGGTAAATTTTAGAGACTTTGCTAAGCCATTTAAACCTTTGCAACAGTGATTCAGTCTTCTGGGTACTTCTGGGTACTTCTGGGTACTTCGGGGTAAATTTGGGATCAGATAAATAAGAACCGCTTAGCCGATGAAATGCCAAGGTTATGGGTTTGCGTCCAGGTGGCACCGGCTCCAGGAGCATGACGGCGCTGAACAACGCGGTGAGACACGCCACGGACGGGTTCATCGGTATCCTGGACATGTTCGGGTTCGAGGACCCGAAGCCCAGCCAGCTGGAGCACCTGTGCATCAATCTCTGCGCGGAGACGATGCAGCATTTCTACAACACCCACATCTTCAAGAGCTCGATCGAGAGCTGCCGCGACGAGGGCATCCGGTGCGACGTGGAGGTCGACTACGTCGACAATGTGCCATGCATCGATCTTATTTCCTCCCTGGTGAGTCGACCAACAAATGTCGTGGACGTTGTGTCCACCTGTGTCGACCGTGAAAAATCACTGCCGTGCATCACTTTGCAAAATCACGAAATTTGGGTTCGAGCACGCCTTGCACGATTTTAATTTAATATCGTTAAATATATAATGTATATATATGATCCAAAGTTATGGTATTTCCGGGAAACAGGGGATTCCTGAGGTCATTCGAAGCAGCTTTTTCCTTAGCGAAAATGTTCTACGAGGCTTCGTTTATGAGTTATTAACGAAAAACAGTGACCAATGGGAGGCGAGCTCGCTCGGCGCTAGACGACCGGGCCAATGAGCGGAACCGAGCTGCGCGCACCCGTTGGCTCGGCCGCCGCGCTCGCCTCTCATTGGTCAGCGTTTTTCATTAATAACTCGTGAACGAAGCGTCGTAGAACATTTTCGCGGAGGAAAAAGTTGCTTCAAATGATCTGAGGAACCCCTCATTTCCCGGAAGTACCATGATTTTGGGACACCCTGTAAAATTATTAATTTAATAATCCTTGTAATTCGAGTAATTCCAATACTGAATACTTATTAGAAATAGTTGCGAACCCTTTGCAGTCGCATGTCTATATAAATTAACAAGCTTCTGTAACAGCTTTTTTATTGCAATCAGTTATCTCTTACTTGACAAAGGAAGCTTCGATTCTAATAAAATAGCGAACGAGAACGTGAATTCGCACGGAGATCCGCGGTCGAATTATCTCTGATCGCGCGTTCTATTATTGATTTGGAGCGTCGAACGTTTTAGTCGTTCGATGAAAATGAATTGCGAACAGCGCGGCAGCGACGCGTGAAATTACATGCGACCGCGAAATGTTAAAGCTGGCCGGCGAGATATCTTGCACGAAGCGCATCCCACGGTTTGTTGTTTCGTTGCACAGCGCACCGGACTGTTGAGCATGCTGGACGTCGAGTGCTCCATCCGAGGCACCGCCGAGAGCTACGTCGCCAAAGTGAAGGTTCAGCACAAACAGAATCCCCGGCTTTTCGAGCCTAGGACCGTCGACTGTAGATCCTTCGGGATCCAACACTTTGCGGGGAGAGTGACTTACGACGCGTCCGATTTCCTCGGTGCGTATTTAATTGCCTTGGAGTCGCCTGGTTAGCGGAATTAGGCCGCGGCGTCCATTCGAACGTTTAAAGCACTTTAACTCGATCTTACCGACGTGTCTCGCAACTGGTGAAATTCCATTTTGCATTGATTCTCGAGAAAGTTGCAGCGAAACGAAGAGCGTTTTCAGAACTTTGTCGGAAGGATCGCTACTGCTTTGAAGTTGAATAACTCGGTTAAAAAGGATCGTACAGTAATAAACGAACACTCATTTTACGCAGAAAGGTTTTCACTTTCGATTCACAAAGGTGGAACTTGGCTAAAAAATTTTCTTCGCTCCAGGTAATATTGCAAAGTAGAACGAGATTTCCAAGAATCCATGTGCTCGTGATTCACCTATATTCGGTTACCTAGAACGAGCAACATTTTTTGGGCAAGTTACACTTGCGACAGTCGAAAGCGGCAACCTTCCTGTGTAAAATGAGCGTTGGTTGATCGTAGCGCGATTTTTTTTGTCCGAGTTATTCAACTTCGACGCGGGAGCGAGACAATAATTTGTTGGACTTTAATGAGAAAATCGCTTCCACTTTGGAATTGAATAACTCGATTAGAAAAAATCGTATAGTAATCAATGAACACTCATTTTACGCAGGAAGGTTTTCACTTTCGATCCACGGAGGTGGAACTTGGCTAAAAAATTTTCTTCGTTCCAGGTAATATTGCAAAGTAGAACAAGATTTCCAAGAATCGATGTGCTCGTGATTCACCTATATTCGGTTACCTAGAACGAGCAACATTTTTTGGGCAAGTTACACTTGCGACAGTTGAAAGCGGCAACCTTCCTGTGTAAAATGAGCGTTGGTTGATCGTCGCAGGATTTTTTTTGTCCGAGTTATTCAACTTCGACGCAGGAGCGAGACAATAATTTGTTGGACTTCAATGAGAAAATCGCTTCCACTTTGGAGTTGAATAACTCGATTAGAAAAAATCGCACAACAATGAACGAACTCTCATTTTACACAGGAACGTTACCGTTTTCGCCCGGCGTGAACGCAACTTGCGTAAAAAATTCTACTCACTTCAGCCGACGCAGCAAAGTTGATCAAGATTTCCAAGAATCCGTGTACACGTGTTCTGTATATGGTACACATGAATTCGCGTTATCCGAAACGAATGAAATTTTTCCGACAGGTCGCGCATATACCAATCGAAAGTGCTATCTCCGAGCGTGAAATCGATACCATCTGGTCTTCGTACGATTTGTTTTTCGCCCGAGTTATTCAACTTTTGGACCAGAACCAAGCGTGAAAATCTTTCGCCTTTGTGCCGGGTTGTTGCGAAAGTAATTTCGGTTTTCGCGTAAGCTGTGTATTTGGCAAAACCGAAATTACTTTCGATAGAATGTTTGGGGTCGCTGAGGCCGACAAAGCGTTCGAAAGCTGAGGGAACAGTTGTCGAAAGAATACAAGACTGCTGCAGGCGCAAGAGATTGTAGAGATAATCGAACAGGGTGGATTTCTATGTTGCAAAGACACGAACAAGGACGTGGTGCCGGACGACCTAGTAGCAGTGTTCTACAAGCACACCTGCAGCTTCGGCTTCGCGACCCACCTGTTCGGCAGCGAGCTGAAAGCGTTGTACGCGAGCGACACGGTGCCCAGAGGCGTCAGCTTCCGGATATCGCCGACCTCCCACACGGACCTGTAAGGCACAACATTGTATCCGGTCCGAACGGTACCGGAACCACTCTCTCTCTCTCTCTCTCTCTCTCTCTCTCTTTCTCTCTCTTCTTCTCTCTGTCTGCCGTAAAGCGGAGCGAAACGAAAATCACAGGAATCGTCGGCGACTGTCTCTGGTTTCAGTTTGAACGGGGACGAGCCAATCTCCACGTTGACTCAGGACTTCCACACGCGGCTGGATAATCTCCTGAGAACTCTCGTCCACGCCAGGCCCCACTTTGTCAGGTGCATTAGAAGCAACGGCACAGAAACCCCGCTGCACCTAGACAGAGGCGTGACTATGCGTCAGATACGATCCCTTCAAGTTCTCGAGACAGTAAATCTAATGGCCGGCGGTACGTCTTGAAACTACTCCCGACGTTCAATTTGCATGCTCGCTCGTCGCCCGACGACACCAGACGTTCTCCTCCCCGTCTGGCCCACCCCCCGACTTCGTTCTTGTCGAACAGCTGTTCCATCGCCATAGAAAATTAGCCGCGGTTATTTAACCATTACCTTCGCGCTTCGCTCTTCCATGATATCTTCGATTTTGGAAGACCGCTATGCTTGTGGCTCGTTCAGGTTTTATCGTTGAATGGTTGGCCAACAGAAAGTAGTTTTTCGATTGTTAGTGGATTGCGGATTTCATTTGTTCCTGGTGATGATCAGTGGAGGACGCATCGAACAGCTTGCGAGTCTAAAAATTGATATTATTGAACAGGGAAACAAATGTTTGTTTGATTTCAATGTTCTGCAATTGATGCTGACCATTTTTATTTGATTTTAGCACCTTAGAATTGACGCGGACAATTTTTATTTGATTTCAACACCTTGGAATTGACGCAGGCAATTTTTATTTGATTTTAGCACCTTAGAATTGACGCAGACAATTTTTATTTGATTTTAACATCTTAGAATTGACACAGACAATTTTTATTCGATTTCAACACCTTAGAATTGAAATGAATAATTTCTATTTGATTTCAACACCTTAGAATTGACGCGGACAATTTTTATTCGACTTCAACACCTTGGAATTGAAATGAATAATTTCTATTTGATTTCAACACCTTAGAATTGACGCGGACAATTTTTATTCGACTTCAACACCTTGGAATTGAAATGAATAATTTCTATTTGATTTCAACACCTTAGAATTGACGCAAACAATTCTTATTTGATTTCAACACCTTGGAATTGATATGAATAATTTCTATTTGATTTCAACACCTTGGAATTGACGCAGACAATTTTGATTTGATTTTAACACCTTAGAATCGACGCAGACAAGTTTTATTTGATTTTAACACCTTAGAATTGACGCAGACAATTTTTATTCGGTTCCAACACCTTTGAATTGACGCAGGCAATTTTTATTTGATTTTAACACCTTGGAATTGACGCAGACAATTTTTATTTGATTTTAACACCTTAGAATCGTCGCAGACAATTTTTATTTGATTTTAGCACCTTTGAATTGACGCAGGCAATTTTTATTTGGTTCCAACACCTTGGAATTGACGCAGACAATTTTTATTTGATTTTAACACCTTAGAATCGTCGCAGACAATTTTTATTTGATTTTAGCACCTTAGAATCGACGCAGACAATTTTTATTTGATTTCAACATCTTAGAATTGAAATGGACGATTTTTATTCGGTTCCAACATCTTAAAATTGACACTAACAATTTTAACTTCGCTTAAGTCCTACACTCTAGTAATAATAAATAAAGAGAGAATTATACATGGTATTCTCTTTTTGCAAAAAAACTAAAAATCTGTCTCACAAATAGCAGAGAATGAGAGTCGGAGATATAACTTCATTATCGGTGGCGAAAAAAATAGAATCTAGACCCGGTCTGTGTTGTCGATAGCAATTCCCCAATTAGCCAGAATTAAGTGCATTGAGCCCAACGTCGCCTAGACTCAAAGGAGACGCGAGATTGCTAATTCTAGGCAGGCTGGCGTCATTCGAATGATTTTATAATCGTAGGATATCCCCATCGAATGCGTTTCAAGGCGTTCAACGCCAGGTACAGACTGATTGCGCCTTTCAAGCAGCTGCGCCGGGCAGAGGAGCAAGCCGTCGAGGACACCAAGCTCATCCTTCAGAATGCTCAACAGTTGAAGAGCAAATTCGGCGCTAGCACCAGTTGGGCGTTAGGCAAAAGGCACATATTCCTCAGCGAAGGCATTAGGCAGCAACTCGAGAATCTCAGATCGGAGACCAGGAGAAAGGCTGCCACTGCGATACAGGTGAACTATTTTTTTCTTCACTGTTTAATCGATTCGCCATGATTCGCTCAACCTTGACACGATGTTGGAAAATATTTTCTGAATAGTTATAGTGGTGCTAATAATTTCTTAGAATTCAGCTTCAAGCTTTTTTTGTTTCTTATTTCTTTTCTTGTTTCTTGAGTTTCATTCGTTCATTGACATTAAAAATGTATTATCATTATATGTTGGATTTTTTTATAATATTATATTTTTCTATTTTCTTCTGTTTGAAACAATTTTAGTTAGTTGATTAGACTATTCACGATTTAATCTTTGTGTCATGATAATTTTTTATGCTGTTAGATAAATCTGTATTATAAAAGTATGTAGTTTTCAATCATGTTTGCAAGACCTATAACTATTTTTAAGCCAGGCTAAAATTGAACAATGAAGAAGTTTCTTGAAGTTGGTAAATTGGTTTGTTCACAGCATCATTTACAATTATAATTGTTGAGCGAACAATTTTCTCTACGAAGTCTGATATAAAACGCTATAATTGCGATTTAATTTCAGGCAATTACTGCGAACATATACAGGGTGTCCCAAAAATGTCTCGCAATCCGAAAGCGGCGAGTTCCTCAGGTCATTTGAAGCAACTTCTCCCTTTACAAAAATTTTCTCCGAGGCACCGTTAACGAGTTATTAACGAAAAACAGTGACCAATGAGAGGCGAGCTCGGCTGGCGCGAGGCGACCGAGCCAATGAGCGGAACTGGGCTTCGCGCGCTGGTTGGCTGGGCCGCCACGCGTCAGCCGTACTCGATTCTTATTGGTCACTGTTTTTCGTTAATAACTCGTTAACGGTGCCTCGGAGAACATTTTTGTAAAGGAAGAAGTTGCTTCAAAT